GTACCACAGCACGCTGGTCTACAAGGTGGGTACCACAGCACGCTGGTACCACAGCAATTTATTTTCTTATTAAGAAATAATTAAGTTATCATTGTAATATTCATTCCAATCATTGATTGAATATTAAATTCAATCAATGATTATTACAAACAACGATCGCTTATCAGTTACTTTTTACAAACATTAGTAGCAAATGAATTAAATATTACGTTAATTCAATGATGGTTGATTGATCAACCAACCGTGTTAACATTTACTGACCGTATTAACATTGACTGACCGTATTAACATTGAAAATGGCCGTGTTAACATTGATTGACCGTATTAACATTGACTGACCGTATTAGCATTGACTGGCCGTATTAAACATTGACTGGCCGTATTAACATTGACTGACCGTATTAACATTGATTGACCGTGTTAACATTGACTGACCGTATTGATATTGACTGACCGTATCATCATTCACTGACCGTATTAACATTCACTGACCGTATTAGCATTGACTGGCCGTATTTAACATTATTAACACTGACTGGCCGTATTAACACTGACTATCCGTATTAACACTGACCGTATTAATGATCGCCAGGACGAGCGCAACCTGAAGCGCAGCAGCGTCGTGTGCGTGCGCGACGTCGGCGACGGCGAGCGATACGTCGTCTACACGCGCACACACTGGTACGTGTACGTGTACGTGTGCGTGACGTGTGCGTGGTAGTTTCGTGTACGTGGTAGTGACGTGTACGTGTGCGTGGTACGTGTACGTGTACGTGGTACGTGTACGTGTAGTGACGTGTACGTGTGCGTGTACGTGTACGTGGTACGTGTACATGTATGTGGTAGTGACGTGTACGTTTACGTGTACGTGGTCGTGACTTGTACGTTTACGTGTACGTGGTAGTGACGTGTACGTGGTAGTTACGTGTACGTGGTAGTTGCGTGTACGTGGTAGTGACGTGTGTGTGATCGTAATGTGTGCGTGTTTACGTGTAATACTGTGCGTGTATGCGTAAGTTTGCATGTGCGTGATCGTGAACCTGTTCCTGTCTGTAATTATTGTGTAGGTTCAAACGTTCGTAGATGGAGGGATCGCCTCGAAGCGGTTTTGAGTTTTTACTTAATAAAGTCAACTAAATAAATTACGTAATTAACTGGAACGTAAACTAAATAAATTTATAGACGTTCTAGTTGAGCGTTAGCTTCCCTCAATTAAACGAGCAATAGAAGTATGAAATTTCTTATTTATTTAAATTTCACCAACTCTCTGGTGACTAAAAGTATTAAAAAAATAAGTATTAAAAATATAACTCAGTACTCACTGCAGTGAGTGACAGAGAGCGCATTTTCTCGTCGACGAAAACATGAAGTCACGGACGGACAGACGGACGGACGGACTGACGGACAGACGGACGGACGGACAGACTGACGGACGGACGGACATGGCGAGCACAATAGTGCATTTTTTTCATAAATGAGAAAATGCTCTAAAAGCACTAGTTTCCAACATGTAGGCACGGTGATAGTGAGAAATATGCTAATCTGCTGAGATATGTTATATTGCGTAGCTTTAAAAGATCTTGGAATTTTAAGTTTAAAAAACCTGGTTATTCGACAGCATGACGCGGATATATAGTTACTTTTAAAATATTATAAATAATTCGCTAATGTCGTTGCTTTAATAATTTTAATAATGCTAAATAATAATATACCAACGTATGCTCAGAAACTCCTACCAAACTGGTATAGTAGGTGCGAATCTCAGCTAACTATATCATTTTTTGTAGGTACATTATTTTGTCACTACCTGGACAAACTGACCCATTTATTTTTACGAGTGTGGCATCTGTAAAAAACGAAATCCAAGCAATATTGCACTTCTATTGTCATGTTAATGGTTAAGCGTTGTATTCCTTCCATTTATTCACAATATGTAGAATATATTGTAATTATTTATATTATGATAAATATAATTATTATTATATTGTAATTATTGTAATATTTATTTACATATATATATTTCATTTACGCTTGGCGATATCGCTAAGCAGGAAATTAATTCTAAATACGATTTCAAAAATTGCTCGCAACCACACCAAAAAAATAATCTCATCTGAACCACTACCGGCAAGTCATCCAATGCCATTCATTTGCATACATGTTCATGTGTGTTTTGTGTGTGCATCCATGTGTGTTTACTTTTGTGTCCACAAATGTGTATTTACTTGTGTGTGCATCGATGTGTGTACATGATCAAGTGAAATGGTGCTGGTTAGTGTGTAATGTCTGATTTCTGAACCACTTTCTACTCCACAGCACAATTAAGTAGAGAGCAGAAATTGGTATATATTATGACCAAAATCGGGTGTAAGCAGAATTTCATTATTTAATGTCCGACTAATTTAGAATTTTATCTCCCAGAATGCGATGAGTGTAAATTTACCGATCTAGGCCTTGTTGTGTTTATTATTTTGTGTTTAATCCGTTAAAAATAACGTTTCTACCTGCCGTGCGATACCGCCTGAATGCTGGACCCGTGCAACGAGTTTCGTTCAACATTTGAAAAAGAAATTTCGCAATTGATAAACGCGCGACAAAACAAATGAATTATTCGATTTCAATAATTTTACGCAAAATGTTACATTATGCACAAGCAAACGCAAGTATTTCAAAGAGATTAATTACGAAATTTCAAAAAATATTCCAAATTTGACAGATATAGCGTCGGTATCCACAATACTTAGGAGTATAAAGCTCCACTTCCAGCTCAATTTGAAAATTTCGCGGCGAACTTCTTGCAAATCGAAAAGCAAATCAGGATCATGGAAAGCCAAAAACCCAAAGCACAAGTTCTTCGAAACGTTGGAGGAGCTCCGAAGAATTGGAAGCTTGGAACTGCCTGCTGTGAAGAATCTCTAATGACGACCCAAAACAGTTTATGCGGGGATGAAACAACCAGCAGCTCGAGCAGTACAAACGACTACTGCGAGGTTCGCAACGACGAGACGTGTGACCAAACGGAAGATTCTTGCAAGGAAAACACTTCTTCTTCGTCGAGTTCAAGCTCGAGTTCTTCTGATGAGGGATGTGATGATCCATGCCGAGGAAGGCGAAGGAAGATGATCAAGGAAAAGATCACTGGGGCTTTCACTAGAAACCGACTATAGAAGGGCCGCGTGGACAATAAGTGCAAGGTTGATATCTGTGAAAAAGCCGTCCCTAAATGTAACGTTAATGTGATCAACGCCAGATTCTGTGGCTGCAGCGGAGCAACTAAGTACTCAAGATTCAAAAACAACGAAATTACGGACGCAACAAGTACTAGCAGCAAAAGTCGGGATCGCAATCTGTGCAGCTCTGCCTCTGGCAAAAGTACATCCGGAACGACATCATCAAGCAGCGGCCAAACTCGAAGCTTGAAGTGCATTTGTTCAACTGAAGATGAATCGGATGGTTGCTCAGCCTCCAGGGAAGTTTCAGTGTGTGGCACGCGCCGTTGCTTTTCAAAGCCAACTTCGGAAGAGAATGGATCTTGTCCTACAAACTATGGAAAGAAGTCCTATTCAAGCTCAACGAGAAGCAAGAAAAGTTCTGGTAACTCAACCTCTGCTCCATCAATGAACAAATGCAGTTGCTTATCGGGAAGTAATTCCGGAACATCTTCTTCCAGCGGTAAAACGTGCACTTCTGATTCGAAAACCAAGTCAAGCGAATCGTCGAGCAACACGCGATGCAAATCTTCTGGAAGCAAATCTGCAAAATCGGAGAGCAAATGCAGCTCCTCGAGATCGCGGACAGGGGATGAAAGTACCTCAACAGTTTGCACGGCCGCCGATAACTTGGGATCAAAATCAAGTACGGGTGCCTCGTCTAATTGTAATTCGACAAGTACGACTGAAACCCTCTCCTCAAGATCTCAATCCACTACAGACTCCCGAGGCAAATCAAAGAAACTGAATTCAGCATCCAGCAGCACAGGAATCAGTAGTCGGTCATAGAGGACCATGAACCGAAGCTCTCAGTTGAGTGATGACGAGTCCTCCGAATCAAACGATACGAAGAGTTCAGCAAAGCGTAGCTCAAGCTCATCTAAGACCCAAAATTCTTCAGGCTCGAGCAAGAAAGGGGTCAGCAGTGACTCGACTTATACACCGACTCGATCGACAACGGAAAGTGGTTTGTCTCGAAAAACTTCTTCGAAATTGAGTTCAGTTTCTGGGACCAGTTCAACATCAAGCAGTTCATCGAGTAAGAGCAAGACTGGCGACACAGATTCCACCTCTTCTTACAGCAGTCAAACCACGAGCCCGAGTTCGACTTCGACAAACGACAGCTCTAGCACAACCTCGTCGACTTCGGAAACGAGCAGTTCGAAATTTAGTTCAGTTTCTGGGACCAGTTCAACATCAAGCAGTTCATCGAGCAAGAGCATGACTGGCGACACAGATTCCACCTCTTCTTCCAGCAGTCAAACCACGAGCCCGAGTTCGACTTCGACAAACGACAGCTCTAGCACAACCTCGTCGACTTCGACAGACGACAGCTCTAGCACATCCTCGTCGACTTCGGAAACGAGCAGTTCGAAATTTAGTTCAACAACCGCTACTCGAGGCTCAACGGAATACTGTACGTGTATGTCAACTGCAAGCACTTGTACTGAGAGCGACTCGGAGGAATCTTCCTCCTGCAATGCTACAGCGTCGAGCACAACTTCGTCGAATGAGCGGGATTGTTGGTGCAAGAAGTTCAGCCTCTTCATAATCAACGGCGGGAAGTACTGATGTGGAGATCCTGATTACTGATGAGGAGGTCCGGAAGCATTCTTAATTTTGAGTGTAAATGATTGATTTAACGTATTGTGATTTGTGAACTGATTTTAAATACAGTTTTTTTTGTTTGACTAATAAATGGAATAATAATATCAATTCTTTATTTTCCTTTAAGAAGAATCAACGCCAAACATGAAATGAAGTCTTTATTATGATTGATTTAGCGAATTGTGATTTGTGAACTGATTTTAAATGCATTTTTTTTGTTTGAATTGTAAACGAAGTGGTAAAACCAATTTATTATTTTCCTTTGAGAAAAATCAAAGCCAAACATGAAATTAAGTGTTTATTACGTCACGAAATTAATTAATGGTAAGATCATGTCCCTCGTTAGACTCCTCCGCCTCGGAATAGTTTTCTCGACATGAACAACGGAACGAGTGGAGACATGACCAGGAAAAAATGCATAGGAAAATGTTAGAAAATGTTTTGTGTTAAAGTTCTGTCAAGGGTCGATAATTCTGTCCAGAAATTTAAAACTTGCGCGCCGGATAACAGATATGAAATGAGATATGCCGAGCGCACAGATCATAAACTAAATAGATTTTTTAATATTAATTGAAAGTTTGACTGACTTGCCGATGTATGACTGGTAGGACAATTTCGATGATGTACCTTCCTCTAATAACTTATCATATTTAATACGCTTGAAATAATAGCAGACCTTAAGAGTTCCGTAAGAGTATTTACATTTGTACCTGTTCTGCATTACTTCTGTAGGACAGTAATGTTCTACTCGATATCCTTACTGATATCTAGTATTATCTAGAGTGTCTCATAGGCTGCAGACAGAATGGTTAGAATTTCATGCAATTATTAAATAATATTAATTATAAGTGAATTTTAAACTATTTGAATACGAGAGTGGCAAGTTCACTGAAAAAGTTGAAGTTAGAAACTCGACTTGTCATAATTTTCTTTGGAATGTTGAAAAATTTTGTTGTGGATATATTAGCGGCGTCGACACTACTCGTATTTAAAGACCTGGTAACGAGATATATCATCAATTGACTTTGGATATTAGTATTATATTGAAAGTACTAGTCGCCAACTGTAGTATTATTTAAAAACAATTAAAAATAAGTATAAAAACCTGCTTGAAGGATTTTGCATAAAAGAATGATAAAGCTAAAATAATATTTTTTCAGGTATTTAAACATCGCGCAAGTTAAGTACAAGCGTATGTACTATTACTTTATATTAGTGTTACTTTCCTTCATTCACTGCAAATCGGGCGGCCGTTTGTTTTTCATGTGATTATATAGCTACTGGCCGCCACTCGCTGCAATAGCCCCTGAAGCAGCCAGTCCCTCTCTACACGCCGCCACTAGCAAGATTTTTAAAACCGGCGTTCGATCTGTGTAATTTCATGATGTGATGTTCGATAACGTATAATTCTATCACCCGATTTCCGATAACATGACATTTTATCATCTGACGTACAAAAATGTGTAATTTCATCATCTGACGTACGATAACATGACATTTCATCATCCGACGTACGAAAATGTGTAATTTCATCATCTGACGTACGATAACATGACATTTCATCATCCGACGTACGAAAATGTGTAATTTCATCATCTGACTTACTATAACATGACATTGCATCATCCGACGTACGAAAATGTGTAATTTCATCATCTGACGTACGATAACATGGCATTTCATCATCTGACGTACGATAACAT